CAGCCTTTATGGCTTGTTTAAGTGAAAAAAAAACAAACCCCCAAATGGAAAACATTACCAGCATCCTCCTTGATGTTTTCAAGTGAGCCTCCCCTCTCAACGCCTGTGTGGAATATATCAAGGGGTCAGAGGCTTGGGCTATAACCCTACGGCCAGGGTGGCTTGTAGGGCTGGTGGTATGGGGTTGTGGGTATAGGGTGAGGGTAAGGATGGGGTATAGGTCTGGGGTATCAGGGGAGGGAATTAGGGCTGGGGTTATAGGGCTTGGGGTATAGGACTGGGGGTATAGGGCTGGGGTATAGGGCTGGGATATAGGACTGGGGTATAGGGCTGGGATATAGGGCTGGGGATATAGGACTGGGGTATGGGGCTGGGGTATAGGACTGGGTACTAGGGCTGGGGTATAGTGGTTGGGGTATGGGGCTTGGGTATAGGACTGGGGATATAGGACTGGGGTATGGGGCTGGGGTATAGGGGTGGGGTATAGGGCTGGGGTATAGGGGAGGGGTATAGGGCTGGGGTATAGGACTGGGGTATGGGGCTGGGGTATAGGGGAGGGGTATAGGGCTGGGGTATAGGGCTGGGGTATGGGGCTGGGATATAGGACTGGGATATAGGACTGGGGTATAGGACTGGGGTATGGGGCTGGGGGTATGGGGCTGTGGTATAGGACTGGGATATAGGACTGGGGTATGGGGCTGGGGGTAAGGGGGTGGGGTATGGGGCTTGGGTATAGGACTGGGATATAGGACTGGGGTATAGGACTGGGGTATAGGGCTGGGATATAGGGCTGGGATATAGGACTGGGGTATGGGGCTGGGGTATAGGGGTGGGGTATGGGGCTTGGGTATAGGACTGGGATATAGGACTGGGGTATGGGGCTGGGGTATAGGGGTGGGGTATGGGGCTTGGGTATAGGACTGGGATATAGGACTGGGGTATAGGACTGGGGTATAGGGCTGGTGTATATGGCTGGGATATAGGACTGGGATATAGGACTGGGGTATGGGGCTGGGGTATAGGGCTGGGATATAGGACTGGGGTATGGGGCTGGGGTATAGGGGTGGGGTATGGGGCTTGGGTATAGGACTGGGGTATAGGACTGGGGTATGGGGCTTGGGTATAGGACTGGGGTATAGGACTGGGGTATGGGGCTGGGGTATAAGGCTGGGGTATGGGGCTTGGGTATAGGACTAGGGCTGGGGTATGGGGCTTGGGTATAGGACTAGGGCTGGGGTATAGGACTGGGGTATGGGGCTTGGGTTATAGGACTGGGGTATAGGACTGGGTTATGGGGCTTGGGTATAGGACTGGGGCTGGGGTATAGGACTGGGGTATGGGGCTTAGGTATAGGACTGGGGTATAGGACTGGGGTATGGGGCTTGGGTATAGGACTGGGGTATAGGACTGGGGTATGGGGCTGGGGTATAGGGCTGGGGTATGGGGCTTGGGTATAGGACTGGGGTATAGGACTGGGGTATGGGGCTTGGGTATAGGACTGGGGTATAGGACTGGGGTATGGGGCTTGGGTATAGGACTAGGGCTGGGGTATAGGACTGGGGTATGGGGCTTGGGTATAGGACTGGGGTATAGGACTGGGGTATGGGGCTGGGTATAGGACTGGGGCTGGGGTATAGGACTGGGGTATGAGGCTTGGGTATAGGACTGGGGTATAGGACTGGGGTATAGAACTGGGGTATAGGACTGGGGTATAGGACTGGGGTATGGGGCTTGGGTATAGGACTAGGGCTGGGGTATAGGTACTGGGGTATGGGGCTTGGGTATAGGACTAGGGCTGGGGTATGGGGCTTGGGTATAGGACTAGGGCTGGGGTATAGGACTGGGGTATGGGGCTTGGGTATAGGACTAGGGCTGGGGTATGGGGCTTGGGTATAGGACTAGGGCTGGGATATAGGACTGGGGGCTGGTGGCTTGGGTATAGGACTGGGGTATAGGGCTGGGGTATGGGGCTTGGGTATAGGACTAGGGCTGGGGTATGGGGCTTGGGTATAGGACTAGGGCTGGGGTATGGGGCTTGGGTATAGGACTGGGGCTGGGGTATAGGACTGGGGTATGGGGCTTGGGTATAGGACTAGGGCTGGGGTATGGGGCTTGGGTATAGGACTAGGGCTGGGGTATGGGGCTTGGGTATAGGACTAGGGCTGGGGTATAGGACTGGGGGCTGGTGGCTGGGTCTAGAGGACTGCATGTGAATGCTATTTCCTTTATTTAGTCGTGGTCTGGCTGCAGTTGGCCATGCGAGGTGGCCAGAGCCAGGGCTGCTGAGAGAGATAGCAGCAGCAACACCCCCCCCCCTAGTAACACCCCTGGTAAAAACCCCAGTAACACCCCCAGTAACACCCCCAGTAACACCCCGGTAACACCCCCAGTAACACCCCCAGTAACACCCCGGTAACACCCCAGTAACACCCCCAGTAACACCCCCAGTAAACCCCCCAGTAACACCCCAGTAACACCCCGGGTAACACCCCAGTACACCCCGTACACCCCAGAACCCCAGTAACACCCCCAGTAACACCCCAGTAACACCCCAGTAACACCCGTAACACCCCAGTAACACCCCCGTAACACCCCAGTCAAACACCCCACCCAGTACACCCCGTAACACCCCAGTAAACACCCGAACACCCCAGTAACACCCCAGTAACACCCCAGTAACACCCCAGGTGAACACCCCCAGTAAACCCCCGTAACACCCCCAGAACCCCCAGTAACACCCCAGTAACACCCCCAGTAACACCCCGTAACACCCCCAGTAACACCCCCAGTAACACCCCCAGTAACACCCCCAGTAACACCCCAGTTACACCCCGGTAACACCCCCAGTAACACCCCCAGTAACACCCCAGTAACACCCCAGTAAACACCCCCAGTAACACCCCAGTAACCCCAGTAACCCCCAGTAACACCCCAGTAAACACCCCCAGTAACCACCCCCAGTAACACCCCAGTAACACCCCAGTAACACCCCAGTAACACCCGGTACACCCCCTAGTAACACCCCAGTAACACCCCCAGTAACACCCCCAGTAACACCCCAGTAACCCCCAGTAACACCCCCAGTAACACCCCAGTAACACCCCCAGTAACACCCCCAGTAACACCCCCGGTAACACCCCCGGTAACAAGTGTGCAGGGAATAGAGCCTAAAAAGCTGTTGATCCAAATATGCAGGAAAACCACTGCTCACATTACATCCTCAACTGCTCCAGACCTTTTAGAAGCAGTGTGTGTGTGTGTGTGTGTGTGGATGTGTGTGTGTGTGTGTGTGTGTGTGTGTGTGTGGTGTGGTGTGTGGTGGTGTGGTGGTGGTGGTGCGTGGAGTGCGTGCGTGCGGGTGCGTGCGTGCGTGGGGTGCGTGTGTTGTGTGTGGTGTGCGTTGTGTGGTGTGTGTGTTGTGTGTGAATGTGCTGTGTGGTGTGTGTGTGTGTGTGTGTGAATGTGCGTGTGTGTGTGTGTGTGTGTGTGTGTGAATGTGCGTGTTTGAGGGGAGGGGAGGGGTTCCTGTTTCAATTGCATCAACATGTCGCACATTCCAGAAGACCTGCTCCACTAACATGTGGTTATCGTCAAGACAACCCTGAGTTCCGGCTCTGCTCCAGTCTGCAGCCGGGAGAAAGAGGAGGTGCTGACTGGGATCACACCCTCTTCCTCTCTCTCTGCGTCACTCTGTCTCTCTCTCCAACGTCAACTATCTAGAGCCTGTTCATCATGTCACTATCTATCCAGAACATTGGAATATGGGTGAAGGTGATTCTTGCTCTGCCCCAAACGTTGTCTTGTGTGCATCTCGATACACCACTGGGGAGCATTACAGAATTGACGACATCACATCTTTCAGTTATAGAAGATGGTTCCTACCATGATTGAGTGGCGGTTGGCAGAGAGTAGTCCCGTGCCATATCCAGCGCCCAGTCCTCCCATGGCCCCGTTGTGTGCTGCTCCGATGAGGCTGTGCATGTCTTGGTGCATGCTGGGCATGCCTGTGGAGGGCCCAACCGCGTGACTCCGCAGGACATGGATGGCATCGTCCAGGCGCTCCAGGCGGTCCTCGATACGGCTCTGCTGCAGGGGGGGGGGGGGGGGGGGGTCAGAGGTTGGAGGTTAGACGTCCGGGGTCAGGGGGTCAGGGGTCATGTTGGTGATGAAGTGCTTATGAATGGGTTATGAATAACTTATGAATGCGTTATCAAATCAAATGTTATTCATCACATGCTTGGTAAACAACACGTGTGGACTAACAGTGAAAGTCTTACTTCCCAACAATGCAGAGAGAGAACATAGAGAGATAATAGAAAAGTAAAAGATGTACTAATAAAAGAAATAATAAATACACAATGAATAACGATAACTTGGCTTTAAACACGGGGTACCAGTACCGAGTCTATGATAACTTGGCTATATACACATGGGTGTGGGGTACCAGTACCGAGTCTATGATAACTTGGCTATATACAACGGGAGGTACCAGTACAGAGTCTATGATAACTTGGCTATATACACGGGGGTACCAGTACAGAGTCTATGATAACTTGGCTATATCCAACACAGGGTACCAGTACCGAGTCTATGATAACTTGGCTATATACACGGGGTACCAGTACCGAGTCTATGATAACTTGGCTATATACACGGGGTACCAGTACCGAGTTGATATGCAGGGGTATGAGGTAATTGAAGTAGATATGTACATATAGGTAGGGATAAAGTGACTAGGCAACAGGATAGATAATAAACAGTAGCAGCAGCGTATGTGATGAGTTATAAAATAGTTTGTGCAAAAAGGGTCAATGAAGATAGTCCGGGTAGCTATTTGGTTAACTATTTAACTAACTATTTAGCAGTCTTATGGCTTGGAGGTAGAAGCTGTTCAGGGTCCCGTCTTTCAGGATCCTGTTGGTTCTAGACTTGGTGCATCGGTACCACTTGCCGTGCGGTAGCAGAGAGAACAGTCTAAGACTTGACAATGTTTAGGGCCCTTCTCTGACACCGCCTGGTATAGAGGTCCTGGATGACAGGGAGCTCAGCCCCAGTGAGGTACCGGTCCATCCGCACTCCCTCTGTAGTGCCTTGTGGTCGGATGCCAAGCAGTTGCCATACCAAGCGGTGATGTAGACAGTGAAGATGCTCTCAATGGTACATCTGAGGGCCCATGCCAAATCTTTTGAGCCTCCTGAGGGGGAAGAGGCGTTGTCGTGCCCTCTTCATGACTGTGTTGGTGTGTTTGGACCATGATAGATCGTTAGTGATGCGGACACCGAGGAACTTGAAGTTCTCGGCCCGCTCCACTACAGCCCCGTCGATGTGAATGGGGGTGTGCTCGGCCCTCCGTTTCCTGTAGTCCACGATCATCTCCTTTGACTTGCTGACGTTGAGGGAGAGGTTGTTGTCCTAGCACCACACTGCCAGGTCACTGACCTCATCCCTATAGGCTGTCTCATCGTCATCTGTGATCAGGCCTACCACCGTCGTGTCGTCGGCAAACTTAATGATGGTGTTGGAGTCGTGCGCGGTCACGCAGTCATGGGTGAACAGGGAGTACAGGAGGGGACTTAGCACGCACCCCTGAGAGGCCCCCGTGTTGAGGGTCAGCGTGGCTTTATACAGCTCGTTGAGTGCGGTCTTAGTGCCAGCATCGGTTTGTGGTCGTAAATAGACGGCTACGAAAAATATAGATGAAAACTCTCTTGGTGGTCCTCTGTAGCTCAGCTGGTAGAGCACGGCGCTTGTAACGCCAGGGTAGTGAGTTCGATCCCCGGGACCACCCATACACAAAAATGTATGCACGCATGACTGTAAGTCGCTTTGGATAAAAGCGTCTGCTAAATGGCATATTATTATTGGTAAATAGTATGGTCTACAGCAGGGGTATTCAACTCTTTATTGTATTTTACCTTTATTTAACTAGGCAAGTCAGTTAAGAACAAATTCTTATTTACAATGACGGCCTACACCGGCCAAACCCGGACGACGCTGGGCGAATTGTGCGCCGCCCTATGGGACTCCCAATCACGGCCCGGTTGCGATACAGCCTGGAATCGAACCAGGGGGTCTGTAGTGACGCCTCAAGCACTGAGATGCAGTGCCTTAGACCGCTACGCCACTCGGGAACCCTACGAGGTCCGGAGCCTGCTGGTTTTCTGCTCTACCTGATAATCAATTGTCACCCACCTGGTGTGCCAGGTCTAAATCAGTCCCTGATTAGAGGGGAACAATGAAACAACGCAGTGGAACTGGCTTCAATTCCAGAGTTGAGTTTGATCTGCAGCTTATCATGAGGTATTCTAACTCAGGCGAGCAGAACCTCGAGACTTCCTTAACATTAGAGATTTTGCGCACCAGCTGTTGTTAACAAAGAGACACACACCCCTTGAGCTTAACCAACGCTGCTGTTCTGTCCTGCAGAAGCATAGAAAAACCAGCTAGAATATTATCCATGTCCTTGTTCAGCCAAGTTTCTGAGAAAAACAGGATATTACAGATCTTCAGGTCCCGTTGGTAGGATAGTCACGATCGGAGCTCAACATTTATTTTGACTGTTCTAATTATGTTTGTAACCAGTTTATAATAGCAATAAGGCACGAGGGGGTTTGTGGTATATGGCCAATATACCACGGCTAAGGGTTGTATCCAGGCACTCCGTGTTGCATTTAAGAACAACCCTTAGCCGTAGTATTTGGCCATATACCACAAACCCCCTCGTGCCTTATTGCTTAATTATGATATCGATAGGACTCTGCTGCAGGGGGGAAGGAGAGGGGTCAGGGTTAGAGGTCAGGGGTCATGGTGTTGATATAAGTGCTTATGAATGTATTATGAACAGGTTATGAATGGGTTATGATATCGATAGGACTCTGCTGCAGAGGGGAAGAGGAGAAAGGTCAGGGGATAGAGGTTGCGTTGTTGACATAAGCATTTACGAATGGGTTATGAACTGGGTTACGAATGTGTTATGAATGCATTATGAATGTGTTATGAATGTCTTATGAAGATCTTATGTAGTCTTACCAGAGAGTGTAGAGGAGCCTCATAGTTGGGGGAGGAGGGCCCTTGTCCTCCGTTCCTGGACCACATAGCAGAACTAGCAGCTAGGAGAGGACACAAGGAGACAAGGAGATGAGGAGACAAGGAGATGAGGACATGAGGAGACAAGGAGATGAGGACAAGAGGAGACAATGAGATGAGGACATGAGGAGACAAGGAGATGACGACATGAGGAGACAATGAGATGAGGACATGAGGAGACAATGAGATGAGGACATGAGGAGACAAGGAGATGAGGACATGAGGAGACAATGAGATGAGGACATGAGGAGACAAGGAGATGAGGACATGAGGAGACAATGGGATGAGGACATGAGGAGACAATGAGATGAGGACATAAGGAGACAAGGACATGAGGACATGAGGAGACAAGGAGATGAGAACATGAGGAGACAAGGAGATGAGGACATGAGGAGACAATGAGATGAGGACATGAGGAGACAAGGAGATGAGGACAAGAGGAGACAAGGAGATGAGGACATGAGGAGACAAGGAGATGACGACATGAGGAGACAAGGAGATGACGACATGAGGAGACAATGAGATGAGGACATGAGGAGACAAGGAGATGAGGACATGAGGAGACAATGAGATGAGGACATGAGGAGACAATGAGATGAGGACATAAGGAGACAAGGACATGAGGAGACAAGGAGATGAGGACAAGAGGAGACAATGAGATGAGGACATGAGGAGACAAGGAGCTGACGACATGAGGAGGCAATGAGATGAGGACATGAGGAGACAATAAGATGAGGACATGAGGAGACAAGGAGATGAGGACATGAGGAGACAATGAGATGAGGACATGAGGAGACAAGGAGATGAGGACATGAGGAGACAATGGGATGAGGACATGAGGAGACAATGAGATGAGGACATAAGGAGACAATGAGATGAGGACATGAGGAGACAAGGAGATGAGGACATGAGGAGACAAGGAGATGAGGACATGAGGAGACAATGAGATGAGGACATGAGGAGACAAGGAGATGAGGACATGAGGAGACAATGAGATGAGGACATGAGGAGACAATGAGATGAGGACATGAGGAGACAAGGAGATGAGGACATGAGGAGACAAGGAGATGAGGAGACAATGAGATGAGGACATGAGGAGACAATGAGATGAGGACATGAGGAGACAATGAGATGAGGACATGAGGAGCCAATGAGATGAGGACATGAGGAGACAATGAGATGAGGACATGAGGAGACAAGGAGATGAAGACATGAGGAGACAAGGAGATGAGGACATGAGGAGACAAGGAGATGAGGACATGAGGAGACAAGGAGATGAGGACATGAGGAGACAATTAGATGAGGACATGAGGAGATAATGAGATGAGGACATGACGAGACAAGGAGATGAGGACATGAGGAGACAAGGAGATGAGGACATGAGGAGACAAGGAGATGACGACATGAGGAGACAATGAGATGAGGACATGAGGAGACAATGAGATGACGACATGAGGAGACAAGGAGATGACGACATGAGGAGACAATGAGATGAGGACATGAGGAGACAAGGAGATGAGGACATGAGGAGACAATGAGATGAGGACATGAGGAGACAATGAGATGAGGACATAAGGAGACAAGGACATGAGGAGACAAGGAGATGAGGACAAGAGGAGACAATGAGATGAGGACATGAGGAGACAAGGAGCTGACGACATGAGGAGGCAATGAGATGAGGACATGAGGAGACAATAAGATGAGGACATGAGGAGACAAGGAGATGAGGACATGAGGAGACAATGAGATGAGGACATGAGGAGACAAGGAGATGAGGGACATGAGGAGACAATGGGATGATGGACATGAGGAGACAATGAGATGAGGACATAAGGAGACAATGAGATGAGGACATGGAGGAGACAAGGAATGAGGAAATGAGGAGACAAGGAGATGAGGACATGAGGAGACAATGAGATGAGGACATGAGGAGACAAGGAGATGAGGACATGAGGAGACAATGAGATGAGGACATGAGGAGACAAGGAGATGAGGACATGAGGACATGAGATGAGACAAGGAGATGAGGACATGAGGAGCCAAGGAGGATGAGGGAGAGACAATGAGATGAGGACATGAGGAGACAATGAGATGAGGACATGAGGAGACAATGAGATGAGGACATGAGGAGCCAATGAGATGAGGACATGAGGAGACAATGAGATGAGGACATGAGGAGACAAGGAGATGAAGACATGAGGAGACAAGGAGATGAGGACATGAGGAGACAAGGAGATGAGGACATGAGGAGACAAGGAGATGAGGACATGAGGAGACAATTAGATGAGGACATGAGGAGACAATGAGATGAGGACATGACGAGACAAGGAGATGAGGACATGAGGAGACAAGGAGATGAGGACATGAGGAGACAAGGAGATGACGACATGAGGAGACAATGAGATGAGGACATGAGGAGACAATGAGATGAGGACATGAGGAGACAAGGAGATGAGGACATGAGGAGACAAGGAGATGAGGAGACATGAGATGAGGACATGAGGAGACAATGAGATGAGGACATGAGGAGACAATGAGATGAGGACATGAGGAGCCAATGAGATGAGGACATGAGGAGACAATGAGATGAGGACATGAGGAGACAAGGAGATGAAGACATGAGGAGACAAGGAGATGAGGACATGAGGAGACAAGGAGATGAGGACATGAGGAGACAAGGAGATGAGGACATGAGGAGACAATTAGATGAGGACATGAGGAGACAATGAGATGAGGACATGACGAGACAATGAGATGAGGACATGAGGAGACAATGAGATGAGGACATGAGGAGACAATGAGATGAGGACATAAGGAGACGAGGAGATGAGGACATGAGGAGACAAGGAGATGAGGACATGAGGAGACAATGAGATGAGGACATAAGGAGACAATGAGATGAGGACATGAGGAGACAATGAGATGAGGACATGAGGAGACAATGAGATGAGGACATGACGAGACAATGAGATGAGGACATGAGGAGACAATGAGATGAGGACATGAGGAGACAATGAGATGAGGACATAAGGAGACGAGGAGATGAGGACATGATGAGACAATGAGATGAGGACATGAGGAGACAATGAGATGAGGACAGAGTGAGGACAGGAAGGACATGGTATGATGTGTGATGTGACACCACCTTATCCATTCTCTCAGTCTCCCAGTACCATTCATACACACTCTGATGGAAATACTGCCCTGAACACAAACAGTCCAGTTGTATTCAAGTTAGCTGAACATCAAAATTCAAGTCAGCTGAACAGTTGAGTATTATGTAAAGGTTGGTCAACATTAGAAGCTAATTGGTCCTTGGTAATAATGAGCTATATAATAAGGTAAAGCTATCCAACAACACATACAGAACATGAAACCATTAAACCCTGGTGCATATTGGCTATAGAATATTGCTGTGGTATAATGACCTACTTGTGATGGTATGCTAAACATGTTTTGTCTTGTTCATGTCTGCTTCTCGGCCTCATTCATGGCTTTCCTCTGCTTCTCACGCAGCTTTTGTCTGGTTGTCCCTGACCTATACACAACCCGTGATCATTAACTGGTGGAGGTTGGGGATGTGTGTGTGTGTGACCCTATCTCTGATGGAGAGGCTGTCGTGGGCGTCGCCGGGCGCCTGGGAGCAGGTAGGGAACAAAGGCCTTTGATAGGCTGAGAGCTGTGTGATGCTAATCACCTCCACTTCCTCTTTTGTTGTGTTGGTTCTTCATAAATTAAAGACCTGTGGAACCGTCACCTAGACCTCCGCTTGTGTGTGTGTGTGTGTGTTAAAGACTCACAACCTGTTAAAGACTCACAACCTGTTTAAACCAGGCTGAATTACACCAGCCAATTAAAGAGCTGTGTGTGTGTGAATGTGTATAGCAGCAGCAGTGTAGCTACTAACCAAGGCAATTATAAAGGTGAATTACACAGCAAAGAAAGAGCTTGAAGGAGAAGAGATAGCAGCGAAGGAAGGTAGAGACGCGAGAGAAAGGAAGGACGGAAGGAGAGGACGGAGACGAGAAGAGAAGCAGAGAGAGAAGAGTAAAAAGTACAGAAGACGCAGATGAAGAAAACAGAGATCCCAAGAGAAAACAAGAGAGAGAAAAAGAAAGATAATAGAAGAGCAGAAAGAGAAGGAAGAGAAAGAAACAAGAGAAGAGAAGAAAAAAAGAAACGAAAAGAAAGAAAAGAAATAGAGAAGGAAATCGTAAACGATTCCTCGAGCAGCAGATCCAGCGACAGAATCTACTCCTCTCCTCTCCTCTCCTCCTCGTTCTCTCTCCTCTCCTCTCCTCTCCTCTCCTCCAGTCCAAGCCCACCGTGCCTCGACCACCAGATCCCTTCATTATATTGATTAGATCTAATTATCTTGTTTTCAATGTACTCTTTCATGTATATGCACATTTATACATGCTACCCGCTTGATTTTATTACCAAGCCTAATTTACATATGTTAATTAGCCAATCATTACCTCAACATATGTTAATTAGCCAATCATTACCTCAAACATTCATGAGCAAATAAAACACAATATATTATTGGGCCGACAAATGATTGAATCCCTTATTTATTTAATTCAAACTAACTTCCCTAAGTTTAAATAGCAATCTGCAGTTTGTCGGCTTTAATCAGGCTGGTTGTTTTAATTTGTAAAGTCTAATAACGGTGAAACGATGGTAAACACCAATTATGTTTGCTGGCATTTCCCTGGTATTAACTTTAGTAGTACTTCATGATGCTGCTGAATCACATACACACACACACACACACACACACACACACACACACACACACACACACACACACACACACACACACACACACACACACACACACATACACAGAGAGACAGACACACACACAGTGCTGCTGCTTTGAAATGATTTGCTGAAGTGCGTTTGTAATTAAGTCTATCAGTCAACATGTTGTGTAGCAGCGACAATTAGTGCAGCATTGAACATAGTGATATGGAGAAAGTAATTTCTCACTTTAAGGAGCAGGGAAGGATTTGCATCGTTAGTCGGGAAGAACAGTAATAGGCAAAAACAAAACATGTCAGAAAAAAAAAAAAGGAAGTTTGAAGTGTTTTGTAAATGGAGGGAAATAATTTCTCAGTGATGAACTAAAAGGAGTAGCTAGTGAAAGTCAAAGGCCATCTTCAGTGATGTTACGCTGAGAGGCCCAGGCCTCTGCACTATGCTGCACTATGCACATCAGTATCTACAGTATCTTCCCCTTGGATGCCTCCCAGGCATTTCTCTACCATTACAGCTCAGCGAGAGGTCCTAAACACTGCCACGTGAGACTGGACCTGTGCTGTGTAGTAGTGGTGATTGGACTGAACCAGGCTATGCTGTGGTCCTAAACACTGCCACGTGAGACTGGACCTGTGCTGTGTAGTAGTGGTGATTGGACTGAACCAGGCTATGCTGTGGTCCTAAACACTGCCACGTGAGACTGGACCTGTGCTGTGTAGTAGTGGTGATTGGACTGAACCAGGCTATGCTGAGGTCCTAAACACTGCCACGTGAGACTGGACCTGTGCTGTGTAGTAGTGGTGATTGGACTGAACCAGGCTATGCTGTGGTCCTAAACACTGCCATGTGAGACTGGACCTGTGCTGTGTAGTAGTGGTGATTGGACTGAACCAGGCTATGCTGTGGTCCTAAACACTACCACGTGAGACTGGACCTGTACTGTGTAGTAGTGGTGATTGGACTGAACCAGGCTATGCTGTGGACTCTACTAAGATCTGGTTCACTGGTGGATAGTGACATTAATTCCTCCCTGATTTAAAGTGTTTATCTGTGAAGTGTAGAAACTCTAATTACAGTTAAATGGTTCACTTCCTCATATTCACCTTAAAGGAGCCAGTTGGATGTTCTAATCTATATATAAAGGTAGGTTGAAGACTAGTTTAAAATTGAGATGTACCTGTGAGTGAGGGGGGAGAGCCAACAGGGGTCGACGGGTTGGACGAGAAGCTGTTGTTCGTGTGGTCTGGAGAGTAGATCTGAAACAACCAATGAAATCACAGACAGACAGTCAACACATGGCTGTGTGTGTATTTGAGGTGCTTGTGTGCGTGTATGTATTGGCCTAGGGGTTGAGGTCGAGGTGTGTGTTGTGTGTTGTGTGTGTGTGTGTGTATTGGCCTAGGGGTTGAGGTCGAGGTGTGTGTGTGTGTGTGTGTGCGTGTATGTATTGGCCTAGGGGTTGAGGTCGAGGTGTGTTTGTGTGTGTGTGTGTGTGTGTATGTATTGGCCTAGGGGTTGAGGTCGAGGTGTGTGTGTGTGTGTGTGTGCGTGTATGTATTGGCCTAGGGGTTGAGGTCGAGGTGTGTTTGTGTGTGTGTGTGTGTGTGTGTGTATTGGCCTAGGGGTTGAGGTCGAGGTGTGTGTGTGTGTGTGTGTGCGTGTATGTATTGGCCTAGGGGTTGAGGTCGAGGTGTGTGTGTGTGTGTGTGTGTGTGTGTGTATTGGCCTAGGGGTTGAGGTTGAGGTGTGTGTGTGTGTTGTGTGTGTTGTGTGTGTATTGGGCTAGGGTTGAGGTGGAGGTGTTTTGTGTGTGTGTGTGTGTGTGGTGTGTGTGTATTGGCCTAGGGGTTGAGGTCGAGGTGTGTGTGTGTGTGTGTGTGTGTGTGTGTGTGTGTGTGTGTATTGGCCTAGGGGTTGAGGTCGAGGTGTGTGTGTGTGTGTGTGTGTGCGTGTGTGTGTGTATTGGGCTAGGGGTTGAGGTCGAGGTTGTGTGTGTGTGTGTGTGCGTGTGTGGTGTGTGTAGTGGGCTTGGGGTCGAGGTGTCGGGTGTGTGTGTGTGGTGTTGTATTGGCCTAGGGGTTGAGGTCGAGGTGTGTTTGTGTGTGTGTGTGTGTGTGTGTGTGTGTATGTATTGGCCTAGGGGTTGAGGTCGAGGTGTGTGTTGTGTGTGTGTTGTGCCGTGTATGTATTGGCCTAAGGGGGTTGAGGTCGAGGTGTGTTTTGTGTGTGTGTGTGTGTGGTGTGTGTATTGGCCTATGGGTTTGAGGTCGAGGTGTGTGTGGTGTGGTGTTGGCGTGTATGTATTGGCCTAGGGGTTGAGGTCGAGGTGTGTGTGTGTGTGGGTGTGTGTGTGTTGGTTGTGTGTGGGTGTGTGTGTGGATTTGGCCTAGGGGTTGAGGTTGAGGTGTGTGTTTTGTGGGTGTGTGTGGTGTGTATTGGGCCTAGTGGTTTGAGGTGGAGGTGTGTTTGTGTGTGTGGGTGTGTGTGTGTAATTTGCCTAGGGTTGAAGGTCGAGGTGTGTGTGTGTGTGTGTGTGCGTGTATGTATTATTGGCCCTAGGGGGTTTGAGGTCGAGGTGTGGGTGTGGTGTGTGTGTGTGTATGGTATTGGCCCTAGGGGTTGAGGTCGAGGTGTGGTGTGTGTATGGATTGGCCTAGGGGTTTGATGTCGAGGTTGTGTTTGTGTGTGTGTGTGTGTGTGTGTGTGTGTATTGGCCTAGGGTTGAGTCGAGGTGTGGTGTGTGTGTGTGTGTGCGTTTATGTATTGGGCCTAGGGGTTGAGGTCGAGGTGTGTGTGTGTGTGTGTGTGTGTGGTATTGGCCTAGGGGTTGGAGGTTAGGTGTGTGGTGTGTGTGTGTGTGTGTGTATTGGCTAGGGGTTGAGGTGGAGGTTTGTTTTGTGTGTGTGTGTGTGTGTGTGTGTATTGGCCTAGGGGTTGAGGTCGAGGTGTGTGGTGTGTGTGTGTGTGTGTGTGTGTTGGTGTGTATTGGCCTAGGGGTTGAGGTCGAGGTGTGTGTGTGTGTGTGTGTGTTGCGTGTGTGTTGGTATTGGGCTAGGGGTGAGGTCGAGGTGTGGTGTGTGTGTGGTGTGTGTGTGTGTGTGTATTGGGCTAGGGTGTGAGGTCGAGGTGTGGGGTGTGTGTGTATTGGCCTGGGGTTAGGTCGAGGTTGTTTGTTGTGTGTGGTGTGTGTGGTGTATGTATTGGCTAGGGTTGAGGTCGAGGTGTGTGTGTGTGTGTGTGCGTGTTGTTGGCCGGGTGAGTCGAGTGTGTTTGTGTGTGTGTGTGTGTGTGTGTATTGGCCTAGGGGTAGGTCAGGTTGGTGTGTGTTGTGTGCGTGTATGATGGCCTAGGGTGAGGTCAGTGTGGGTTGTGTGTGTGGTGTTGACGGTGTAGTGATCCGTGTATTGGCCTAGGGGTTGAGGTTGAGGTGTGTTGTGTGTGTGTGTGTGTGTGTGTGGTATTGGGCTAGGGGTTGAGGTGGAGGTGTGTTTGTTGTGTGTGTGTGTGTGTGTGTATTGGCCTAGGGGGTTGAGGTTGAGGTGTGTTTGTGTGTGTGTGTGTGTTGCGTGTATGTATTGGCCTAGGGGTTGAGGTCGAGGTGTGTGTGTGTGTGTGTGTGTATGTATTGGCCTAGGGGTTGAGGTCGAGGTGTGTGGTGTGTGTGTATGTATTGGCCTAGGGGTTGAGGTCGAGGTGTGGTGTGTGTGTAGGTATGGCTAGGGGTTGAGGTCGAGGTGTGGTGTGTGTGTATGTATTGGCCTAGGGGTTGAGGTCGAGGTGTGTGTGTGTGTGTATGTATTGGCCTAGGGGTTGAGGTCGAGGTGTGTGTGTGTGTGTATGTATTGGCCTAGGGGTTGAGGTCGGAGGTGTGTGTGTGTGTGTGTGTATGTATTGGCTAGGGGTTGAGTCGAGGTGTGTGTGTGTGTGTATGTATTGGCCTAGGGTTGAGGTCGAGGTGGTGTGTGTGTGTGTGTGTGTGTGGTGTGTGTGTGTGTGTGTATTGGGCTAGGGGTTGAGGTGGAGGTGTGGTGTGTGGGTGTGTGTGTGTATGTGTGTGTGTGTGGTTATTGGGCTAGGGGTTGAGGTGGAGGTGTGTGTGTGTGTGTGTGTGTGTGTGTGTGTGTGTGTGTGTATTGGGCTAGGGGTTGTAGGTTGAGGTGTTGTTCTCTGCTCACCGAAGCGAGAGCCTTCCCCAGGGCGTCTCCAGTCTGAGAGCTGCTCGGTGCCCCGCTCTGCACCCGGTTAGCTGACACCACACACACACACACACACACACACACACACACACACACCACACAACACACACACACACACACACACACACACACACACACACACACACACACACAGAGAAAAGAGAAGTAGAATTCTTTAAATAAGGACGTTATTCATTTCAATAATGCACCACCCCCCCAACCCCCCTTATATTCCATCATCCATCCATCCCTCTCTCTATTCATCCATCCATCCCTCTCTCTATTCATCCATCCATCCCTCTCTCTATTCATCCATCCATCCCTCTCTTCCCCTGAAGGCCCTAACCCACACCCTGTCACATCCGCAGGCCAACCCTTCCAGCACATTATCCACAGCTCCACGACCGGTGTGTGTGTGTGTGTGTGTGTGTGTGTGTGTGTGTGTGTGTGTGTGTGTGTGTGTAGGGACAGGCGAGTGTCTGGGCAGGAAGTGAGTAGAGCAGAGCAGGACTCAGAGGACCACCCACGACACTCTCACACACTGTCAAATTATTACCCAGTCACATTTTCCCCAAATTATACAAATGATCTGAATATGCATGTAGCGTTTGTTTGTACGTACATGACAGATCCTGTGGCATGGCACTGACATCCCAGATGGGAAGTTTACACATTCACAGGCAAGTAAGCCTGACCTGAGTCAGGAGGCATCAAAGCCTCTGCTATGTGATCTCACGCACGCACGCACGCACGCACGCACGCACACACACACACACACACCACACACACACACACACACACACACACACACACACACACACACACACACACACACACACACACACACACACACACACACACACACACACACACACACACACACACACACACTCAAGAATGCGCACACACACACACACACTCACACACAGACTTTAACTCGGGACTAGTAACATGATGGCCAAACTCAATTGTCAATCATTTCAAAACATTTGAGAGGGATCAGAGACGGGTCTTTAGAAGGCTCCATTAAGCTCCCATTTATTGAAATGGATTTTCTCCATCCATATGTTTTAGCTGAAATGACCCAGAGTGTGTGGCTGTGGGGTAATCTTATGCTGATTTAGGACTTTACCCCAAACATATGCCACTTTGGTTTGTGCTTTTTGATTTCTCTCTGCCCTCTTTAAATTCCCTGGGCTAAACTACCCAATCTCTGTAATGGATTGCGATCAGTATTGTGTGTATGTGTGTGTGTGCAGTCAGTGTGTAGTGTGTGTGTGTGTGTGGTAGTGTGTGTGTGTGTGGTGTGTGTGGTAGTGTGTGTGTGTGTGTACTTGTGTGTGTGTGTGTTTGTGTGTGTGTGTGTGGTAGTGTGTGTGTGTGTACTTGTGTGTGTGTGTGTATGTGTGTGTGTGCAGTCAGTGTGTAGTGTGTGTGTGTGTGTGGTAGTGTGTGTGTGTGTACTTGTGTGTGTGTGTGTTTGTGTGTGTGTGTGTGCAGTCAGTGTGTTCTATATGAAGAGAAGTCATAGACATGTAAGGGGTCCATGCAGTGTTTCCCAACACACTGCAGGTCTTTAATCTGAAAACATCAGTATGTGGTTTCTACGTCTGATGCTTTAACTCCCTCAAGACCTTGTATTATTGCAGCTTGTCAGAGAGAATATAGCCACATATATGTCCCTCTTTCATCCCCTTCAGTTCTTTCACTGTTTGAGCAACACATGCTAACACAAGCCTCTCTCTCTCTCCTCTCCCGCTGTGTTTAACAAACACACAGAATAGACCCTCACTCTCCTGCCGTGGCTGTATGTGTCTCTGAAGCTTCATGGTTCCTATTTGTTTAATCTTTGAGTGTTTATGTTTCTCTGTTCTGGAGGAGAGAGACAGAGAGCTAGAGAGGAGAGATATAGCGAAGAGAGAGAATAGAGAGAGAGAGAGAGAGAGATAGAGAGAGAGAGGAGAGAGAGAGCGAGAGAGAGAGAAAGAGAGGAAGAGGAAGAGAGGAGAGAGGACGAGAGAGAGGTGGAGAGCGGCCGGAGAGCGGGATAGGGAGAACGAGAGAGATGAGACGAATATAGGAGAAGAGAAACCTTGTGGAAGGGAGAGCATTTAGAAAAACAAAGGCAAGGTTCCTCATTGTTCTAAAATGTGGGCTATGAGGAATGAAGAGAGAGAAATATTTTGGGTTTTTTGGGGAATAGAGGAAAACACCAGGCCAATCTGGTTCTTCTTTGGGTTTTTAATTTTTAGATGAAAACAGAAACCCTATGTTGGGTTGTCTGTGGTGGGAAAAGAGGAACAACACAGGAACCATATGCTGGGGTTGTCTGTGGTGGAAAAGAGGAACAACACAGAAACCCTATGTTGGGTTGTCTGTGGTGGAATAGAGGAACAACACAGAACCATATGCTGGGTTGTCTGTGGTGGAATAGAGGAACAACACAGAACCATATGCTGGGTTGTCTGTGGTGGAATAGAGGAACAACACAGGACCATATGCTGGGTTGTCTGTGGTGGAATAGAGGAACAACACAGGACCATATGCTGGGTTGTCTGTGGTGGAATAGAGGAACAACACAGGACCATATTTTGGTTGTCTGTGTGGACATAGAGGAAAACAACACAGAAACATATGATGGGTTGTCTGTCGGTGGATGGAGGAACAACACAGAACCATATGCTGGGTTGTCTGTGGTGGAATAGAGGAACAACACAGGACCATATGCTGGGTTGTCTGTGGTGGAATAGTGGAACAACACAGACTGACACTCCAGACATGTCACAGCTAATCACAGCAGATATTATGGCAAGAGTGAAAACCTTATGAGGGCTCTGTTTATCTTTCTCTGTTAATCAGTCCATCTTGTCTACTTCTGTCTGTCTGTCTGTCTGTCTGTCTGTCTGTCTGTCTGTCTGTCTGGCTGTCGGTCTGTCGGTCGGTCGGTCCATGTGTATAACTGTTTGTCTGTGTGTAGGTCTGTGTATAACTTGTCTGTCTGTCTGTCTGTCTGTCTGTCTGTCTGTCTGTCTGTCTGTCTGTCTGTCTGTCTGTCTGCCTGTCTGTCAGCCTGCCTGCCTACCTGTCTACCTGTCTGTCTGTCCGTCCATCCGTCCATCCATCATTCACATAGCTGGTCTTACCACTGTAATCAGCCCTGTGTTCTGTCCTGTCTTCAGTCCTGTAATCAGCCCTGTGATCTGTCCTGTCTTCTGTCCTGTCTTCTGCAGCCCTGTGTCCTTGTTCCCAGGTCTTACCCATGATGCTCTCTGTGCCGTTGGTGGTGGCAGTGCAGGAAGCCGTACTGTACTGATTGGAGCCAGTGCTACGATGGAAACTGGACATGGGAGGAAGACTGGGGTTGATGTCTGCCGAGGAGTGTGACGGGTAGCTCTGTAGAGAGGGAGAGAAACAACCCTCAGACTGAACATCTAACCCTTAACAACCCTCAGGCTGAACATCTAACCCTTTACAACCCTCGGGCTGAACATCTAACCATTTAGAACCCTCAGACTGAACATCTAACCCTTTACAACCCTCAGACTGAACATCTAACCCTTAACAACCCTCAGGCTGAACATCTAACCATTTAGAACCCTCAGACTGAACATCTAACCCTTTAACAACCCTCAGACTGAACATCTAACCCTTTACAACCTCAGACTGAACATCTAACCCTTTAGAACCCTCAGACTGAACATCTAACCCTTTACAACCCTCAGACTGAACATCTAACCCTTTACAACCCTCAGACTGAACATCTAACCCTTTACAACCCTCAGACTGAACATCTAACCCTTTAGAACCCTCAGACTGAACATCTAACCCTTTAGAACCCTCAGACTGAACATCTAACCCTTTACAACCCTCAGACTGAACATCTAACCCTTTACAACCCCTCAGATGAACATCTAACCCTTTAGAAACCCTCAGACTGAACATCTAACCCTTTACAACCCTCAGACTGAACATCTAACCCTTTACAACCCTCAGGCTGAACATCTAACCCTTTACAACCCTCAGACTGAACATCTAACCTTTACAACCCTCAGATGAACATCTAACCCTTTACAACCCTCAGACTGAACATCTAACCCTTTACAACATCAGACTGAACATCTAACCCTTTAGAACCCTCAGACTGAACATCTAACCCTTTACAACCCTCAGACTGAACATCTAACCCTTTACAACCCTCAGACTGAACATCTAACCCTTTACAACCCTCAGACTGAACATCTAACCCTTTACAACCCTCAGACTGAACATCTAACCCTTTACAACCCTCAGACTGAACATCTAACCCTTAACAACCCTCAGGCTGAACATCTAACCATTTAGAACCCTCAGACTGAACATCTAACCCTTTAGAACCCTCAGACTGAACATCTAACCCTTTACAACCCTCAGACTGAACATCTAACCCTTTACAGCCTCAGACTGAACATCTAACCCTTTACAAACCCTCAGACTGAACATCTAACCCTTTACAACCCTCAGACTGAACATCTAACCCTTTACAACAATCAGGCTGAACATCTAACCCTTTACAACCCTCAGACTGAACATCTAACCCTTTACAACCCTCAGGCTGAACATCTAACCCTTTACAACCCTTAGGGCTGAACATTCTAACCCTTTACAAACCCTCAGACTGAACATCTAACCCTTTAGAACCCTCAGACTGAACATCTAACCCTTTACAACCCTCAGACTGAACATCTAACCCTTTACAACCCTCAGACTGAACATCTAACCCTTTACAACCCTCAGACTGAACATCTAACCCTTTAGAACCCTCAGACTGAACATCTAACCCTTTACAACCCTCAGACTGAACATCTAACCCTTTACAACCCTCAGGCTGAACATCTAACCCTTTACAACCCTCAAACTGAACATCTAACCCTTTACAACCCTCAGACTGAACATCTAACCCTTTACAACCCTCAGACTGAACATCTAACCCTTTACAACAATCAGGCTGAACATCTAACCCTTTAGAACCCTCAGACTGAACATCTAACCCTTTACAACCCTCAAACTGAACATCTAACCCTTTACAACCCTCAGACTGAACATCTAACCCTTTACAACCCTCAGACTGAACATCTAACCCTTTACAACCCTCAGGCTGAACATCTAAACCTTTATAACCCTCAGACTGAACATCTAACCCTTTACAACCCTCAGACTGAACATCTAACCCTTTACAACCCTCAGGCTGAACATCTAAACCTTTATAATCCTCAGACTGAACATCTAACCCTTTAGAACCCTCAGACTGAACATCTAACCCTTTAGAACCCTCAGATTGAACATCTAACCCTTTAGAACCCTCAGACTGAACATCTAACCCTTTAGAACCCTCAGACTGAACATCTAACCCTTTAGAACCCTCAGATTGAACATCTAACCCTTTAGAACCCTCAGATTGAACATCTAACCCTTTAGAACCCTCAGATTGAACATCTAACCCTTTAGAACCCTCAGACTAACCATCTAACCATCTAGAACCTAGAGAAGTGAAAGGCAGTAAGAGTGAGATGGTATGGAGGAATACCAAGGCTAAGGAATGATCAACTGATGGAGCGAGACAAGGAGACACAGAAAGTAGCAGGAGAACAGAATGAGAAGAGGGAAGTGGAGAGGAGAGGAGGTGGAGAGTAGATTAGAAGAGAAGGAGATAAGGAAAGGAAAGGAGGAGAGGATACTCACCAGCCGGTCATGTGGGTGGGTGCCACAGTAGCTGCTGCTCTGGGGGCCGTGGGAGGAGTTACCCAGCATGCCGCTGTAACCAGGCTGGTTCATACCGCTGGAGGAGCTCCATGGGTCAGCACTGTGGTGACCGTCTACAGGGGGGGAGAGAGGGGCGCATGAGGGTACAATCATGGAGCATACGCTTACGATCACAACAGACACCCTGCTAACTGGATACACAATGTTCACAACATACACCCTGTTAACTGGATACACAATGTTCACAACATACACCCTGTTAACTGGATACACAATGTTCACAACATACACCCTGCTAACTGGATACACAATGTTCACAACATACACCCTGCTAACTGGATACACAATGTTCACAACAGACACCCTGCTAACTGGATACACAATGTTCACAACATACACCCTACTAACTGGATACACAATGTTCACAACATACACCCTGCTAACTGGATACACAATGTTCACAACAGACACCCTGCTAACTGGATACACAATGTTCACAACATACACCCTACTAACTGGATACACAATGTTCACAACATACACCCTGCTAACTGGATACACAATGTTCACAACAGACACTGTGCTAACTGGATACACAATGTTCACAACATACACCATGTTAACTGGATATACAATGTTCACAACATACACCATGTTAACTGGATACACAATGTTCACAACAGACACCCTGCTAACTGGATAAACAATGTTCACA